TTACAAGAAACCGCATTTATACTCGTATATACTTGAAATCAGACAACTTATTCACTTTGATTGCATATCTCATATTTTCTGCAACATTAAAATATAGATTTTACCATTTCTGACAAATCAATTTATAACAACACACTCACCCAATTTATAAGTAGGTATTTAAAATCAAAAACCATAATCTATCTGATAGCCTTAGAAAAATCTATTATTTTACGCTCTTTTAGCATTAACATTTTTAACACACAATATATAATATAATAATTTACTTTACTACCGCCACCTACATCCACATTTCTTTATTATCATTTTCTTATATATCTTGTGCGCATTTTAAACTAAAAAAAAAGCATAAACTGCAATTTCTTTAACAAACTAAATGCAATTTTAAACTACCGGCATAAAATTGTTGTTGATATTTAACAGAAAATATTAACCGCTTTAGCAATACTAAATAATATTTTCAATAACTTCGTTATTTCACAAACAAAACATTATTTTTTTTACATAAATGTTCTTGCGTCGGTTAGTCGACTGCCTTAACTTTTATCAAACTAAATTTAAGCAATATTTTACTGGCGGAGTTTATATCTTATATATTGTATTTTCAACAGAGTCATCACTAAAATAGTGTTTTTAAACAATAATGCAAATTCTTTTTATATATCATACAAAATCTACAAGTTTAACATATTATATATAAAACTTAACGCGCTGGCTCTTAGCACTCAAATTACAGAAGTTTATTTTAAATTTATTTATACAATTTTCAACTGCCGAAGTTAAATTTTAACAGATTATAATCACTATCAATTCATTATAAAAAAATATTATTTTATAAATAATTGTTGCAATTGCAATTATCGCATTATTTCGTAAGATATTTATCAATTAACAAAAACGTATTGCGCCGGCCCATAGCGCTCGCAACACTTAAGTAATATTTTGAGCACGAATTTCAATTACCGGAGCTAATATTTTGCTTACAATTAACAGAAATCAATCACTAAAATTGTTTTATTATAATAAAACTCTTTTTGCAAGCTTTTTTAATAAGAAAATTTAGTATTCTATATGAATTGAATAGCTGGGGCATACTCGGACGTCGTATTCGCTTTACACATTAAAATTAAACGAACAGCTGTCTTAGCTGTTTTTTTGATCTTGTTAATTATGTACTACTACTACAAATTACACTACTATAAATAGTTTTAGTACATTTTTATAATATGATAATCACTTTTTAATACAATTGAACGAATTTTACACGCGCGAAAACGGAAACTATAATAAAACATTAGTTATGTAGGCGGATATTTAGCTAGACACAGGATGCATCATATGAACATGTACGAGTGTTAGAAAGATCAATCTGCTTTAAATTTTATTTTATTATTTTCTCAATTTAATAAAATAATCAATAATAAGATAAAAATTAAATTATGACATACAGATAATAATAATGAATATAAATAAGCATGCATGTGCTTTTTACAACTTAACTTCTTATTTTAACGCAAGTACAGGTGGATACTTATGATCGTGTATATTTAAATATTAAAAAAATCAATCTTCCGTAAACTAAATATTATTTTAAATGTACAATTTATAAAATGAAATTCTTTCAAAAGACAGTTTACAATTTTTTAAAGTACAGTTTAAAATATATATCCCAAAACCTGATTAAAGATTAATTTTTTGTTTTAATCCCAACTACTATATTGAAAACAAATTTAATCTCAGGTTTCTAATTAAAAATTAAAAAAAGAGATTCTTTTATAATTTAATTTTTTTTACGTTTGTGTAGTTCGTGTTCTACCATTGGGAGAGCTCGCTCAGAGTCATCATATTCAATACTCTATAGAAATGGTCAACACATTCAAACGATTGATTTTGTATCAATTTTTATTCAAAGGTGTTTAGGATTCAAAATTAATTTATAAATTTTTGCTATTTAAATTACAAATACAATTTTCGATTTTTAATCCCAGATATCTTCATTCTGATTAGATTCCGATTTGGGACTAAAATTTAAATTAAATTTAAAATCTAATTTTTAATCCAAAATTTTTGATAAATATGAACTATTTCACAAGATGTAAAAGAAATACGTCAATGAACTTTTGTTAAATAACTACATTTGGATATTAATATATATTTAACATGATTGGCATATTTATTGTATGAACTAAAAAACTAATTAAGTATCAAAACTCAAATCTTATACTACAACAGTTAAATAACTGGCACACCTTTTGTGAGTGCTGATTTAAAATTATGCATCTGCAGCCTTAAATATCATTAATATATTCAATAAAAGAATTTTATTTAAGTATATGTGCCTAAACGGTATATTATCTATTTTCTAAAAAATTTAAACACTTTTTGCAAATGCCTATAACAAACACTTGTCTGAATCTACTACGATAAATAAAATTAAAACATTTGTGTCACCCTATGCCGAAATAAATGTCCGCCACCAACATCAACCGTTTTGTATTAATTTTCGCAAGCTCATATTAAACTAGTAGAAAACAGTGTTTTTGTTAATAAATAACGACAATTAGAAAAACTGTTGATTACGCATTAAGTAGTAGCGTGATAAATATTATGGAAATAAGCTAAACATTTTTAGCTGACAGCTATTTCTAAGTATATTATATGCCCTGCCCAGCTCTTAAGGGTGTTATAATGTTAAATACTAACTTCCTGATTTAAATAAAAAATTTTGTAAATAATGTAATTACAATTAGCATATGCTTATAAATAAGAAAAAAAGCTAGCTCCAGCTTTGATCTGTAAGTGCATTTGATGCATTTACCGCGGTAAAAGAAGGTTGTAGCTGGCGCCAATAGAAAATTGTGAGATATTTGTGATTGATTCAATTAGTTCTATCTTTTTAGCAATAACTTCGCGTTTCCTCAGTCAAAATTGTATTGCAATAGTAATAAATATTGTGGCTGGCAGTCAGGTTTATAAGGTTTTAGTGAGTAAAACTTGATGAGAAATACTCTAATGCCGGAATTCAATAAATATCGTTGCAATGAAGAAAAATATACACTAGTAATGTTTCTGGAGCTTTCCAGGTAAGTGCTTGTGCGAAAAAATAATATAGACAGACATTTTTCCCACCAACAATGTCAAAAAATATCTTGCGCTCAAATCAGCAATGGAACTACAAATATTATATTGAAAGTTTCTACATGCAAACACAGTATTGCTCAGCTAAGGCAAGTGGTTTTTGGCCTGCAAGTTAAATATTTATCCAGAAATATTGGTGCTTACCTCTGGATATGTGTTTATCTTATGTCGCAAACATGCCGATAGACCGCTAGTTGCTATTAAAGTCAAACACAAGTAAAAACTTGAAGTTCATATGCTATCGATGCGCTTCTACTAGTATAACAAACTTTCTAATTTACAAGTTAACATATTAGATTTTGCGCAGCTAAATTGCTGCGGGAAATGTGCGGTGGAAAGTTTGGCGGCTGCCAGGAGTTTTATACACACATGCATAGAAGTCTCTAAGCATCTTGTATATACATATGTATATATCTATTTCCAAAATTTCTTAAACCCACACACCTCTCACATTTATCAGCAGCATGGCAAACTTATTAAGTAAATTTTGCCTTAAGTCAAAATGCTGCAGGCAAAGTAGTTGAACTTGTGTGGTGGTGGGCGGTTCATCACTCATATTCAATAAACTCATAAAAGATATATGTCTGGATGCTCTATGATGTGTATCTACATACAACAACAGATGCTTTTAAATATCCTAGAATATCAGCAGCGGCTAATTTAATTATCTTTGAATGTGTGTAGTCGTGTGCATAAGTGAGAAGTTTGCAAACTATTAAATTGTGGTACTTTTGGCATTTTAGGTTATGTTTAGCTATAGTTGTTTTTGCATAAACTTTTGCGTAAAGTATTTACCATAAATTTCACCGCTTTGATCAGCTTAAATGCGAGTATTATATCTACATATACATACTTACAAGTACGATAACAATAAGTAAGGGCTAAGTTCGGGCGTAATAGAACAAACTCTCCCTATGGGTAAGGCACAACGACGGTGATATATATTAAAAATTCTTAAATTAAACTGTAGGAGGTAGAATTGTGAACAGATATATATATTTATTAAAATATAAATATCTTACAAATTAACCGTCATTTTTGTGATGTCATCCATAGGTATTATGACGCTCATGTGCGATCCTGAAAGTGTTTAGTCCAGTTTTAGGTGAAAACTATTTACCTTTAATGAAAACAACAACCCGAGTTCAACGTTTCTTTTGTTTACCTTCAGCAAAGACAATAACCCTAGGTCAAAGAACCTTTTATTTACCTTTAACAAAGACAATAAACCGTGGTCAATAACCCTTGGTGAAGTCAATGACCTCTTTCTTTACCATTAGCGAGAGCTACAACCTGATGTCAATGACCTTTGGTGAGGTCAATGATCCATTTATTGACATTTAGCTAAGACAATAACCTAAGCCTTAGTGAGGCTGACTGCGTTAAGGGTCATTGACGATTGCGGTAAAGTTCCTTACCTTTTTCAGATAATTCATTATTCAACGATATTATAAATGGATTAAAATTATATTTGGCATAAATTACATAGACTATAAGTTATATACTAAGTTTTGCTTCGTGCCCTAGTTATTTTAATTAATTAACAAAAACAAGAGGAACAAAACTATAATACTCTGTATATACTCCGTTATGAGAGAATAAAAATAATATACTTATATACCAACATTTAAGCATGTACTTACATACATATGTATATGAGTTTTATATACTTTTTTTACATTTTACCTTTTTTTTCTTTCACCTTTAAATTGACATTGAACCCGGCAGTGAGTGCTGCTTACCTTTGTTGTTCGACAGACCGGAAGTGTTTAAAAATTTATGTTGATATCATTTTAAATGGAATGCATCTTTTACTCTGTTGAACTCTTTGGGAACGTTACCTCATAAAAACACATCATTGCTTAAAAATAATATATACAAGTATATATATATTATATATAACGTTATATTTCACCAACGACATTTAGTTAGGTTGAACTGCTTACTACAAATATATTATATTATGGCTCTTTTAGAAAGCCAGCAAGCGCGAATATTTCTTCTCGGAATACACCAAAGTACCACTAATTAATATTTGCGCAAGGAAAAAGTTTCGGAAATAAGATATGTGGATATATTCTCTTTAGACTTCAAAAATACCGGCGTTTCTGATATTCAAACGAAAGTGTGTACTTCCATTTTATTGAAAGACTCATAAAGTTTTTGGTTGTGTAATTCAATGACTTAGGTATAATTTCCACAGAAGAACTTCGTAAATACATAATATAGAAGTATGGTCTTTGGCTAAATGACTGATAAAAGTTATTTTTCCAAAATGCAAAATCAGTTCAAAGCTCTACTTCTCACCTCGTACCCAAACTGTTCAAAAGCAGCTAGCAAGGATAAATCCATAAAATTATCCATGACAGAAATCCTTATGAGACTCTTTCTCGAGTTATCCTTTCCAGAGCACACTTTCCATCTGATCTTATTTTCGATACAGTTAAAACGTAATGCTGCCATGTTCTCAAAATCCAACTCGCATGACAATTTAATTGTAAATATACAATATATGATATTACTTCTAAACATGAAATTGAACTCCACATTAAAGCCTTATTTGGTATTCCCAATTCACAACCGCCGCGCGTCTCTCGAATATATGCCAGCAGTTTCATTTGCTCTCCCATTTAATTTCATACATTGATAATTTTCGCTTTTTTATATCACTTTTTGCTTCTTTTTTTCCACCAATATGCAATCGGATAGCAAATTAGTTGCAATAATCCGAAACTGCCTGTGCGGAGCAAATAAAAAAAAATATGCGAAAAAAAACGGTATAAACGAGCTGTCGAAATCAAATGTCAGAAGTCAAGATGTTGTGTACCGAATATCAAGACGAAAGCCGAACAAGCAAGGGAAGACATTAGTGATTGGCTGTGTGTTAGAGTGAGAGTACTTGAAGTTATGGCTCCCAGGAGGGCAATTGCTTTGACCAGAAATTAAAAACGGATACTCGCTATAATGGTTAACGAGTAGAGTGAAAAGCTAAGCATTGAGTGCGAGGAGGAGTGTGGGAGGAAAGCAAAAAGCATTTTTTAAGAAATGCTTAACTAACGGCAAATTTGTATAGAGCCTGAAACTTCAGGAGCAGCATTATATAAGCAGCTGATAGTCGTTTAAAGATCTACCAGCTAAATAAACACATATCTGCTTCGCTGTTGCTGCTGCAAATAATCGCAACAAACGAAGTAGATTTGTCGACGACGATTTTGTGATGAAATTCCAACAAAATTCATAGGTGGGGCGCATGGAATTCCTAGCACGTTTATGACAGTCAGTCTTAATGTGAAAATTATTTTCGCCGAGCACAGCTGGCGGCGGACTTCGTCGGCTTAAGCGCGGGCGGAGCAATGGCGCAAAATTTTCAACCTCTCATTGGTGTTCCGACCTGACAACAGCCCTCAAAATTACCAGCTTACAATTGAAGGTATTTTTTCTCCATTTTCTCAATTTTTTTATTTCGTTTAAGTTGTTTTTTTTTATTTATTTTTACTTTTTTTCTGGTTTTTGTGACTTTGCTTTATTTCATTTTCATTTTTGCAAGCGTTAAAAAGTTTAGCCTAACATTAATCATTTCGCTCGTCATGTCGCTAGATACATATGAAGGTGGACAGTGGTTGTTCGGTTACAAATTTTCCGGATTAGCCATAAACCTACGTACAACATGGTGCAACCACAGCTTTGTCATTTTTTACGCCCGATCAGCACCGCCGCCCTTCTGCGCGCATATCGCTTGTTTGTATTGCCCTTTTTTTGTGCCTGTCCCGTCGGTGGATACGTGTTGAAATTAAGCAATTTTTATGAATTTGAAAAAAATATCTGCAAAAATTCACATTTTTGCCCTTTATTTCATTTTTTTTATTTTTTGTTTTTGCACGACACAAATTTCCTTGGAGATTACTGCAATAAACGCATTTTTCTTCGTCTATATTGACGTGTTGCTATTGTTTTTGTTGTATTTTAGTGTTCAGTTACTAGTAGGTTGGTTTTGTTTATGCCATCAGACATTTTGTGGTGAGGTATTTACATCCGACAGCCAACAGGGGGATTAACACACACACACACAGGCATAGTCATGCCTACCTAGGCTCGAAACATTCTCTGCATGCAACGCCTCAACCGTGCATGTGTATGTGTGAATAATATTTTTAAGCATGAAAAATGTTAAAAAGTGGACATCATCAGCCGAATTTATTGTTCCAGCAACTACTCAGCTGAGGTGCAAAGTTCAGTTTTCGCAAAAAGGAAAAGTTTTGAAAGCTTCCCATTGCGTTGTTGCGAAACCTATTGACGTTAAGTTGATTTGTGTTGAACATATTTTATATTAAAAGTTGGAAACTTTTAGTTGCTATGTCGATTCTGAAAATTTTAGACAACAAATGAGAGCAAAACAAAAAATAAAAAATTTGTAAATATGTTTTATATGGCTTTAATTTTATATGTCTTCAATTTTTTGTAATTTTGAAACACAAAAAATGTATTTTATTTTCATTTTTGTATTATTTTATATTTAAACTATTATATGAATATCATATGACATTGACAAATATTTTTTGGACGTAAAATATTTGGAAAAAAACAAGCAAAACCGCTAACTTCGGCTATTCCGAACTGTAATACCCTCTTAGGTGCATTTCTTATAACATAAAAGGGTAATAAAGAGATCTTTATCCTGATCTTGATCGGTTTGTATATCTGCTATAGACCGATTTGTACAAAATGATCGGAGACTTTAGCGCTGTCTTGGAAAATAGTCTGTGCCAAATTTGATGATGATACTTTATCAATTAAAAAAGTTTTTGATATAAGAACTTTATTCGGATCGGTCAGTTTATATGGCAGCAATATCCTATGGTGGTCTAACATCAGTCGTTCCGACAAATGAGCACCTCTTTGATGAGAAAAGGACGGATGCAAAATTTCGTTAATTTAAATGATCAGCATAACGAACTGAGTCAATTTAGCCATGTCCATCTGTATACACCTGAACTTGTGCCTTAGTTTTTAGATATCGCTCTGAGATTTTGCATACGCCTTTTTATATCCAAGAAGCAAGCGGAACTGAGTCTACCGATCTTAGAACACTATAGCATATAACTGTCATATAAAATGGACGATCAAAAATAAATCCTTATACCGAAAACTTTTTTATTCGACGAGATATCTTAGCGCAATTTGGCATAGATTATTGTCTAAGGCAGCGCTTTAATCTTCGAACAAATTGTTTAGAGCGCATTACTATAGTATATAGCTACCATACGAACTGACAGATTCAAATCAAGTTCTTGTTAAGAATCTGTTTTATATGGGAAGTGGTTTAAAGCTTCATTGCAACCGAAGTTAACGTTTTTTCTTGTTATACTCTCGCAACCTATTGCTACAGAATATTATAGTTCTGTTCACAGATCGGTTGTTTGTATCGCCTAAAACTAATCGAGTCGAAATTTATTTCGAAAATAAAAAACATCAAATAATTTTCGAGTTTAAGATTTTCGATTTCATATACTAATTTTGTCCAAGCTAAAAGATCCAAATATATTAAAATTTTTTAAATATAGCTCAATATTACATTAAAATTTATTGCTTTCCTGAATTTTAATCAGACTCTATTAATACTAGGTTTAAAAATTATTAACAGCTTTGAGTAGATTTTCCTAAAATTAACATCTTATACTTAAGATCATACTATAACAACATAGAACTTTACTTAACACTAAATTCAAGAAAGAATAATTAAGCGCAGCTAAGTTCGCTCAACTCTCACATTTATAGTCAGAGTTCTTTTCCGCATCATTACTATGCTTCTCATTCTCGTTTGTAATCTTCGTATGCAAGAATTCCAACTCCTTCGGGTCAATAACTAAAGCACGTTTTGATGAGTTCCAGTCTTGAAGTGTTGAATCGGAGAATAATACATAGAGCACACCACAGCCAATCAACATGAACGCGCAGAGCAGAAACACATTACGCCAAGCCTCGATTGTTTGCTGTAGGAGAAATTAAATCATAGTTAACCATAACACAAAAAATTGCACGCGACAAGAACATACATTGCCCAACGTCATAACGCCGACAATATAGGATGATATGAAACCTGGTAGCACGGAAATTGTGCCACTAATACCCATAACAACACCCGCATAGTTGGGCGACATATCGACAATGGCTGCTAGAGGGCCCGAGGATACCGCACCGTGGAACATTAAAGATAGCGTGAGGAAAACAACCGCTGCCAACGCATTATAGCCGAACCAAGCAAGACACAAAACCATCGCGCCATTCACAATTAAACCTACGAGATCGTTAATGAAATATTTGCGTGAGAAGAGCGCTGCGAAATCAAGCGACGTTGCACTTACAAACCAATGTTGCCAATTTTCGCAAGTTCGTACGCTTAATCTTATCCGTACGCAACAAATAGTCGGCAAATATGGAGAAGACTAAAGCGAAGAGCATACGCATTAAATGTGGAAAGCCAGAGAGTATACCGGTCTGCAGAACATATAAAAATAATGGTGTAATTATAAAATTCTTACAAAACAAAAATAATTTACGCACAGCGCGTATGTTCCAATGATGTACAACACGAAAGTATGTCGGCGCCTGTGTCATCATCGTAAATAGACCCCAAATGCCGCCCCACTGCGCTATCACATTCATCCAGACACCCCGTGATGTGACTATACGCCGCCAGGGTATCGAACCCAGATTGGCATGGTTAACCGAAGTTCCCAGTGCCTTCTCAATATAACGCTGTTCTGAGCTATTGATGCGCGGATGCTCCGCTGGTGTATTGTAGACAAAATAAAGCCAACAAAACCACCATATGGTACCAATGATGCCACACATTAGATATACCCATTCCCATGAGGTCCAATGCATAACATAACCAAATAAGGGATAGAATGCAGCGACACCTACCGAACTGCCCAAGTAGGCGGTGACGAATTTGCTGCGCTCATTCGGCGGTATCCATTTGCCGGTCATGTGATGCATAGCTGGCCACGATAAACCCTTTAGATGTAGTTTGAAAAATGTTTTTGTTTTTTGTTTTTTCAAAATATATGTGTGTCTTGCGTTTAACTTACAGTTACGAGTCCTTGTAGTATACGCAACCATATGAGCAACTGATAATTCCAATAGGCCGCTAATGGTATGACGAAACAGATCCAACAGCCGACTGCATTCGACAGACCGAAGATCAATTTCGTGCCATATTTTTTAGCCAAAATACCACCGGGAACTTGCGTGACCCAATGTAACCAATAAAACGAGCCTAAAAGCAATCCTTGTTGATACTCATTCCAGCCAAATCCATTCGTTTCGTAGTGAATCTATATATTTGTGTGAAGTGATAAAAAAGTAAATAAGGGTATTAGTGAGGTTATGAGCTGGGTAAACACAAATAAAATGAGTAAATAAACGGATTGTCTACATATATGGTATTTCTTCGTGGTGTGTTCAAACAAAAATACTGTTATAAAACATACATACCTACAGTGCGTGTCAAACGTCTTGAGCTTTTAAGTGTCAAAAATACTCACTTTATAAGCTCATGTGGATAATTTCCTCATATAAGCTATTTATTTAAGTGCATTATTTTATTTATATGGTAATCTAATCTTAGTATGATTATTAAAATAGTGTTTACTAAAAGATAAATGATCTCCCGACAATTTCAAAAAATAGAAACTGACAAAGGTTATTTTTTTTTTGCATGGTTTAAAGTGAAAGCCAGCGTAAAGAGTTCTCAAAAAGCTCATTAAATATTTATTATAACGCGATAAGAATATTGTTATAAGGCTCAGCTGGGACGGTATTCAGTGCTTTCAACGAATTTTTAGTTTTTTCGGTTTCGGATAATTTTGAGGCGCTATTCGCTTTATTGCTTAATAGTAGTCGACGTCATATACATATTCAGCTACGTTGTCAAGCATATATTTTGCGACCTCGACAGTTTTTGCAACAGATTCAGGTAATTTGTTACGAATCTAGCATTGACAGGCTTCATACCCAAAACATTAACCAAAAAGTTTTGATTTGATCTATAAGAGATATAGAGATTCTAGGCTAGCTCTGTAATGCCAAGACAACGATTTTCAAGCACTGTTTCTTTAACTTTTTCGATGACTTCACGTGTGTTCGAGTTAAAGTAGTCTCCCACAACACCTCTGCAGTATTTTCAACAATTCCGTAGCTGTGATTCCATTGGAAACACAAAATCAAGCAAACTAGTTGTTCAATTTTATTTTTCCACGATAAAAATCGCCAGACAAACTTTGAATATTTTGTCTATATTCGCTCTAATATTTCTAAACATGGTGGATATTCTATAGTCTCGTTGTTGGCACTTGGGTTGTTCTTAGAACGACTGTCTAGTTTCTCTAATTTAGGTTTCAGTGAAATCTTTAATCGCAATGTCAAGTGCTCTCTAGATCGTGAAATAAATATTTTCTATTGGAAGACTTGTTATACTCTGTTAAACCTGGAGTTCGCTAGCTAGACAGAGAGAAACTCATTTAGAGTATAATATTTAAAAGCCTACACTCGAACAGCAAGCTTAAATAGAAACTACTTTCCAGTTACACAATTAGATCCACCTACACATTAAGGTCTTCATCTTTCCTTAATTCCTTAATGTTATTAATGCATTCATATAAATGTTATCTAACACAATAACAACATGAATAAAGAATTATATAAAATATGAGTACTTCAAGTAGTACATAGTTGCAAAATCTGATTACCGCTATGCCGCTGATAACAAAATACTGAAGAAAGTCTAATACTTTTATTAATGAGTATTAAAATAGTTTATTTTAAGATGCGATAAATCAGACAAGTTGTTGATGTTTAATCTTTTTTATATCCTAAACAGGGTATATTAAGTTTGCCACGAAGCTTATAAGATATAAAGGAAACGTCGCAGACCCTATATTATATACATATATCTTATATATTGTATATAAATGATCAGTGTGCCGTGCTGAGTCGATTTAGCCCGCCTGTCTGTATATACACGCATGAGTTCCTCAGTTTTTGAGATATCGATCCGAAATATTGCACACTTTGTTTTATCCTCAAGAAGTTGCTCATTTGTCGGAACCACCTATATAGGACGATATAGCATATATGTACATAGCTGGCATACAAACTGATCAATCAAAATGCAGTCTGTGTATTGAAAACTGTTTTAATTGACAAGATATATTTACAAAATTCGGCAACATTATTTTTCAAGGCATCCCTACAATCTTCAAATATATTGTGCAGAACGGACCACAATAGCATATAGCTGCCACACAAACCGTTGGCCGGTCACGTTTGCAGATTTAGCTATACATATTATATAATTGCTATAGAAATGCACCCGTGAAGGATATATAGCTTCTGTGCACCGTTTTCTTTTTTTTTTGTTTTTCATAATCGTTTCTAATTAAAGTACAGTTAGCAAGTAAATATTTAAAAATGCCTCTTACATTGTACATACATTGTAAATCATTTAAACTGAGTTTTGGTTCACTGCAGGAGAGGGGAAAGGTGGTCTTAGAATATCTACAGCCTTTTGTTGGGCAGTGTAAATATCAATAAGCCATCTGTCGTCAATTCGTTGCATAATTATGCAACTACATTTAGATTAAAAAAAGAAAAACAATAGTATTGATGAGTAGTATTGTATTCCTCAATTACACAGCTGTGTAGTGTTTTGTCATTATGATCGCTGTTTTCGAGTTTCAATTATATTTGCGCGGCGCATGTAGATTATCGAAAATGGAACGTTTTTCATACAATGTATAATTTTGTTCTCAGTTCATTAGAGCTTATAATTTTATTATAATTATGGATACGTTCGGTTTTAACTATTACTGCTCGAACCTTTTCGATTCGCATTGAAAACGTTAAAGTCAAACAAATGAAGATATTCAAATCTAAAGTTTCAATATCTTATTTATTTTCCTAAGTTAGCGTCGGCTAACTTTACTTCAAAAAGAAGATTAAGACCAACAGCAGCTGCTAGAAAATATCGAAAATATAATACCCTATATAAACTCGCTTTATTTAAAAAATTAACCACTTTATAATTAGAAGAAAAATGTAAGCTTGAGCACTCACTCTTTGCAAAATTTAAAGAGTTGCAATTATAATTAATCCTGTAGCTATAAAGATACTCGAAAGTAAGTTTGAACACCTCAAGCTTCAGTAGATTTACGATTTTTAAGTTACAACTAATATTCCTAACCTCTTTTAAAGTGGTAGTAAAGGATTTGGAGCTACGCATCCAAGTCTTGAGGTGGCTACAAAGTACTCGACTTTTAAAAACATTCATGTCAAGTTCCAAGCCGGTACAAAATTAAAATCAGGACCAACATATCGATCTCATTTTGAGAGAGAGTGAGAAAGATAGAGTTAGTATTCCGCCATGTTGCAGGCTTTCACACAGGCCTGCGATTAGTGCCCATAACATACCCATGTAGTTCATAACTTTGCGAATAATCGTTCTAAGGCGTACCAAGCGATTTTATTATTAATCGGTCATTAACAAGATTTCGAAGTTGATAACATTGTTTTTACACTAACGCTTTCAGTTCTTTGATTTTGTACACATTTTTTATTTATATAATAATTTTGACAATTAATTTATCTTTCTATACATGTCTTCAATAACTTATGTCAACAAATAATTAATGTCTATTAGCAGTTAATAATGATAATCTATCAACAGTTAATTTCGGTTGCTGATAAGGAAATAATTATTGTAGACATCTAGTTACGTGTATAGACTGAAGTAGGTGCTCGACCACTGGATGATGTCAATGGGTTGTTACGATATTTCATTTTATTTATTTATTTTGACCACGATCATGCCATTTGTACTTTTTGATAAGAGATTTATCACTAAGCAGTAAAACTAAATATGCGTACATTCTCTTAAAACATGTCAATAACCATAATTAATTAATTTGGCACTTAGAACACGCTGTCGTACGAGTATGATTACATTTTGAGAAAAATCAATATTTTGTGATATACATAGAAATATATAACCTAGAGATGAGTTTTATGTAAAGCTGTTAGTTTCTGGTTTCCAACAAGAAGAGCCAATTGCATCCAACGACTTTTGACCGCTTAGAACATTTGGATGACGCAAAAGCAGTCTAATACTTTAAATGTTATTAATTAGTTTCTGAAGGATCTTCAGTTTTCGAAGAATTACAACTGGAAATAAACTGAGACTTACAAAAAATCAATGAAGACATCATTATTTTCACTTCCATGGCCGACCTTATAGATCTGCTGTTCTCTCTTAGAAATAATCTGTAATAAACCTTTGTTGATTCATCGTCCATAATGGTATTGTCGCCCAAAACCGCCAAGATCAAGGTTAGATAAAATGATGGGAAACTTGCATTATATTCTCTGCCAAAAGCCAAGAACATGAGGGAGCAAGGCGATCTTCATTCTGCGAGACGATCGTAAATTGCTAGGCAATCGAGCTAAACTAGAGTTCAGAAAGCGAAATTCTCTCTCTCTAGAGCAGAGCAGCAGATTATGTTTTTTCTACTCGGCAGTTAATGTCAGAACCGCCTGTATTTTTTTTCTATAAAAAGATATCTCATAGAAATTCCAGAGACATTTGAAGGCAGCTCAGCCCATACATATGTACATATGTATGTAGGTAGGAGAAAATCAACATATAGAGTGGAAATTAAAAGAGGAACTTGGCCAAATGCCACACTCATACATATCTATATATTTATATAGAAACACACTTACACAGCGCAAAACAAATTTGCTGCGATCACGTTTGCTTCTCTGTCAATGCGACGCACCTTTTTGCGCTATTTAATCAATTTTTATACCCTGAACAGGGTATATAAAGTTTGCCACGAAGTTTGAATCACCTAAAAGGAAACGTCATTACCCTATAAAGTGTATTTATAAATGATCAGCATGGCGAGCTGAGATGATTTAGCCACGTCCGTCCATATGTCCGACGTTCTGTAGTCGCTCAGTTTTAGAGATATCGATCTAAAATTTTGCACACGTTCTTTTCTCCCCAAATAGCTGCTCATTTATGTGAACCGCCGATATCGGTTTACTATAGCATATAGCTGTGTTACAAACTGAACGATCAAAATTAAATTCTTGCAAGAAAAACGCTTTTAAATATTTGGCATTAATTACTTCTCAAGGCAACGTTATGATAGAAAGAAGCAATTTTTCAGATCGGATCACTATAGCATATAGTGGCCATACAAACTGAACAATCATATTCTAGTCCTTGTATGGAAATCTTTTTTATTGTATTTGAAGAGATATCTTCACGAAATTTTACATGATTTTTTGTCGTCGAATATATTCTCCAGATTGGACCACTATATGATCTAGCCTTAAAACTTACCGATGTAAATTCAGTTCATGTATAGAAACATCTGTATTTAAGAAGCGTATTCTAGCTTCGGTGCAGCCGAAGTTAATATTTCTTCTTATTTTTAATTTTATATTTTTTTTAATTAGAAATTCAAACTTACCCCTAACGAGTTGAGTAACTGCTTCTCCCACGAGTAACGCTGCTCTTTCGCCACCGCAAGTGACACTTCGGTACTCTGATTAGACGCGATCGCTGCTATACTATTGCTAGTGATGTTCGCGTGAATACTGTTGGTGTTATTGCTATTCACGAATGTGTTTAGTGTAAAATTCGTTAACAACGGCGCTTGTGTGACTATTGTGGGCGCTAATAACGGTTTTTTGGCTATCATTTCCACAATTGTTATATTTAGATTGATGCGAATCATGTAATTCACCGCGAAACCGATGAAAACCAGATACCAGAGCACTGTGCGAGCTTGAACTGCAATGAGAGAGAGACAGAGAGAGGGTTTGTAAGGGAGAAGGTTAGCAATTGTGAGTGAGCAGTGAAAATAGCAGTATATCATTTAAATTTTTAAAATTAAACTTTAATTTTTATAAGAAAAATATAATAATTTTTTTTTTTGAAATTTCAAAATAATAAAAAATTAGAAATTTATTTAATGATTTTTTTTGGAATTTATTTAGAAATTAAAATTTTTAAAAATTTTAATTCCACGAAAAAAATGTAAGTTTAGAGAATTTAGTTTTGATTTTATTTTGGAACTTAGAAAAGTGTATTTACTTCAATGTAATTTTTTTGAATTGAAAAAGAAAAATATAAAAATTGGAAATTTTTTTTTTGATTTTTATTGACAAAAAAAATAAAAATTTACTTGTTATAAGTGAAAATAATACTAATTTTAAATTAAAAATGTACCTTTTAGGTTTTTTTTTAGTAATGAAGGCAATCAATTTTAATAGTTGGACAAAAATTGCTTATGTACAATATAATTTATTTAAATTTTTAAAGTTTTGCTTAGAAATTAAAAATTTAGAATTATTTCAAAAACTTCTTTTAAGTTTTTACTTTTTTTATTTTCCTTCTTACTCCTTGAAGTAATATATTTTTATGGTGAGAATAAAAAATTTTGGTGTTAACTAATCCTTAACTAATAATTAAAATTAATAAAAAAATTAATTTTATTAGTTTTTAAATTTGTTTTTTTATGTATGCTAAAATATTTAATAGAAATTAAAATAATAAGAATTTTTTTTCAACTTAATAAAACTTTAAAAACTTGAATTTTGTTTTAATATCTTTATAGAATTTTATTTAGAATAGATATTTTCTAGATTCAAATTTAAAATAAATAAAAAACAAATATATATTTTTTTAGAATTTTCAGTACCAAATCATTTTAAAAAATTATTAGTTACATATTTAAAAATATTTTTTTTAATTATTAGAAAATGCTTATGTATGTATGCTTATACCTTTTTTTTTAATTTTTAGGCCCAAAAATGTTAGTAAATACATATTTTTAAATATTTTTTAATAAAAACTAAAATTATCAATTAAATTTATAATAATTATTTAGAAAAGTTTCTTTTATATGTATATGTGTAGTTTTTTAAATTTATTTTTATAAATTTTAAAATTTTTAAATGTTTAAAAAATTATTAGATTTTAAAAATTTTTAAATGTTTAAAAAATTATTAAAGTTTGTATTGGAATTTTTTTTTTAATTTTTATTTTTTTACTTCCTATACTAATATAAATTTAAAATTGAATAGCTATTATAAATTTAATTGGTTTACTTTTCGTTACTCATGAGAGAAAGAAACAATTTTGTGCATACATTCAAGTATAAAAATATAAATTAATAGCCCTTGCCAACATATATATGTATGTGTGGTATGTACATATGTATATCATTTCGCTATAAAACATCAACCGCATTATTTGAATACTATAATTAATTATAATTATCGACAACAAACATACGAGTATTACTCCGCATTCTATATTTTATTTATGCATGTGTATGAATAGCTAATATTTTCATACATACTATATTATATATTTATTAGTTTATGTAATGTTGCCAATCAATGAACTAGCGAACAGTTCTTTCATTAATTTTTATCGCTTTTAATACATACATACATATCGATTATCAAAAGCAGTTGTACTACATATATATGTAGGCGTAAAAATATAAATATGTCAGCATTGCAACGATTTGACAAGTATGAATGAACTCTAGGCTAAGTAGCGCCGCTGTAAGTCATTGCCTAGGCCAGCAGAAATGCGTGCGATCAATCAGCCAGCGCGCAAACAGCCGATCGACAGCTGATTCTAGGAATTAATCCGAAATATTTATTTGCATTTGCACTGAATTTGTAGCAAGTTTCTGAGCCTACAACTTTTAATCGCTGTAAATAATTATTATTTTTTTTTTTTTTGGAATTTCGGCGCTTGTAATTTTTACAAATATTTTGCACTGCTTTCAATTTGTAAAAAAAAATTAAACTTGTTTGAGCATTGCTTGGAAAATTAGGATTTGTAAAGTAAAGAAATAGTAGAAATGATTTCTGTAAAATTTTAATCAAGTGTATGCACTTGGCAATTCGCTTGAATTTCGGATTAAAAAATTATAAGAAAATTATTACAGCCATTTCGAATGAAGTTTGTGTATTTATGATAAAATGAAAATCAAACAACTTAAATGCGTTAACCTAGGCAAAACTCCAATTAAGGAAAATATTTATACAATTTGCGTTGTAATAAATTAAAAGTATATTTTTTTATTGTAGAAAAAATTTATTCGCATGAAATAAAAAAAACAATATCTTTTTTGCAAAAAATGCAAAATAATTTCCTCAATTATTTTTTTATGTTAAAAAATTACAAAAAATTAATTCACAACCAAAATACACAAAATTGAAAAAAAAACTAGAAATAAAATATTTGAGATTTGGAATAAACTTTCAATAACTCTTTATGAAAAATATATAGAAAATGTTAATGGCTTCTTATTTTTAAAAAATTGATGTGAAACCACAAAAAAATTTGTTCACAATGTTATGGTTAGGATAACTTTTTTCTTTGGCAAAAATTTTACGAAATTTCATTTATTGTAATTTTTTTATATATTATATGAAGTCATAAAAAATATTTTTTAAATTTTTACAAATCTGTTCTTGTTTATATTAAAAATTTTATTACATATTATATTTTTTCAAATTATAAAATTTCAACTTTTGCACAAATAAAAATATTGTAGAAATCGAAATAAAAATTGTTTGCAATAAAACAATTAAAAAAATATTGATTTATATATTTTAATAAGCCATGCTTGCTTAACTATTTGTTAATTTCAAAATGATCATAAATACATAAAAAATTTGATTTTCAACATTTTAATACAAAATTCTTCTACATTAAATCTTTTTTGCACTACTTTATTAAAAAAAGTGATGATACATTTTTTGATAAATAAATAATAAATAAAATAGCTATAAAAATATTACAGTTTTAAAAATTTTACAAGAATAGTTTTGTAAAATTTTTTCACAACAAAAGTTCTTTATAAAAAGCCTTTTAAAAAAACAAACGTTTCATAGTTTTAAACATTTTTATTACAAAAATTTAAAAGCTAACATTATACAATACTTTAAAAACACTTTCTTCAAATATTTTAAAAGTTGTCATATTTATGACATGCATAAAATAAGTACAATGATTTTTAAAATTAATTTATACATTTAGTAATATATTTTTTTTATTTTCATGAAAAAATTTTTGATCAAATAAAATTATTTAAAACATTTTAAAATTTTTAAACTTTGCCAAAAAAAAGTTTTGTGACATTTTTTCACAACAAAAATTCTTTATTATAAACCATCTAAAAACAAACCATGAAAAAATTTTAATATTTTTGATATCAAAATTAAAATTAAAAAATATTTTTTCTTTAAAAACATTTTTTGCAATATTTTAAAACTTTTCTCATTTATAGCATACATAAAATTAGCACAATGATTTTTGAAACTAATTTATGCAGTTAGAAATATATTTTTTATTTTCATGAAACATTTTTTGATCAAATAAAATTTACTATAAAAATATTTAAATTACAAAAATTTTGGAAAAAAAAGTTTTGTATAATTTTTTCACAACAAAAATTGTTTATTAAATAAAATTCTTACAAAAAAAGACTTCAAATTTTTAATATTTTTATTATAAGAATTAACAAATAATAATAATTTTCTATAAAAAAATTTCTTTTAAAAGTTTTTAGATTTTCCATATTTATAACATATGTACATATATAAAATAAAAACAATGATTTTTCGGAATAATTTATGCAATTTTGTTCCAAAATTTTTAAAAATAATTTTTCTTTTCATGAAAACATTTTTAAGCAAAAAAAATTATAATCCAAATATGTTGCAAAAAAATTTTTTTATAATTTTTCACAACAAAAATTATTTATTAAATGAAGTTCTTAAAAAAAATTTTTTTAATATTTTGATTATAAAAATTTGTCAAAAATTATTATTATCACTTAAAACATATGTTTTAAACATTTTCAAATTTTAAATTAACTCAACACTTTTTATTATTCTACTCCTTTAATTAATTTACCTTCCACCATTTTTACGTTTATTTCCAAAAAATTTTCCACCAAAAGCTCACTTATAAGCCAACAGCTTCGCGCAAAATATTTTTGATATTGAACGTGTGTGCAGCTGCGCACTTCCGCAATGCGCCAACTACAAGTGCGTTGATTGCAGTGACTGTAAGAGATCACTTGAAACGAGGGGCGATCAATAAACCCGAGCAACGATCACTAGACACGGGAAGTCTAACCGCTGGCACGCGTCTACACTACTGACTGAGGGTGGATGGGTGTGTATGTGGGGGAAGCCTTTTCAAAACATTGCAACCACCGAACACAACACTACTCGCATCTTCACACACTTCAAAAACACTCAAAACACTTTGTTAAGCATATGAGACGAGCGAAAACGCGCTAAACGATCAGGTTGCATACGCGAAGCGCGAATAATTCGCAATCAGTGGAGAATTAAAGTCAGCACTTGTATTGAATAAACGGAACGAATTGGTTGACGATCACGTCTTGCCACTTAGCAGTGTGCAAGTAGAATGAGGAAAATCCTATGCGTCTAATAATACATATCTCAAAGTTAGTGTGAGCTTCTGAGCTAGTCGAGGAAAGAATTTAGGTAAGCTACGCAACAACAGTAACTGACGTTACATATTATTTATTGCTCGCCACTCGACGACATTCAAATTATTCTGATAAAGGCACAATACATACAAACAAGGCTATTGTGTGCATATATATATATATATATACATACGTTTATATAGGTGGGCCACAAATTATTTGCACATATACTACAAGCTCACAGTTACTGCAGCGCATACGCCGACGATCTTGCCATACTACGTCTAATACATGTTGCTAATCAGCGCCCAACAACAGCAGCAATAACTGATCTACGATCGCGACAACATATGTGGAAATAAGTCACAGCTCTCGACTCTTATCAAATGTGGTTTTAATTTTTTACATGCGCTCTCTCTCTCTCTCTTTCTCTCTCTCCCTTTCTCTCTCCAGCACACCTTTTCAAATAGTAAATATCCTATCACCAAAGTGAGTGCGTAAAAATTACTCTACGCTCCTTCATTCTTGCGCTTACCCAACAAAATGCTACATTCACGCGATAACGGTTTATCTGTCTATCCCTCTCGTTCCCGCCCACCCTTGAAGGTACTTTCTTTTTATCACAATCTCTCGATTCGATCTTCAGCAGCAATTGTAAACAGCTGTAATCGCGCTTATCACAACCTCAACGGCTGCTTCCACCTCGACGATGCTCGTATACGAATAGTATACATTATATGTGTGTATGTGTGTTAACAAGCTAATCCATCACCGCCTGTGGCATGCTGAGGTATCATGCCTTTGAAAGTGAATTACGATATGCATTTAGCGCTTAAAAGAATCTCAAAGCAGGGTTGATCGCAACACTGATTTGATGTGTTTGCGTGTGAGTGGCTTTGAGACAAAGCATTTAATTTTCCAAGTGATAAGATTAGCAAATTATGGTAAAGCACAAAAACAAAGGTGGCTATAATCCTACTCAAAGGTAAATAGAACTTTGTTCACGCGAGAAGTAAACGTAAACAAGCAAGTTCGGGTAAATACTACTAAACGCGATACAGTGGTAATCTGAATAACAAACTATATAACATACATATTCCTAGGATAATGTATGTATTAGAGCGATTGTGAGAGTCTTTGATAAAAGCTCTTCCATTGAAAAAGCTGCGAGTAACATCTTCTTGTACACCAGCCAAACCGAAGTCAAAGTCAACTTCGATCCACGGTTTCTTATGACAATTTGAATACTCGTCCACGAAAATTTACGAATGTTTACCGAACACAAACTCAACACAAAAAAACGTGAAATAAAAGCTCGGAGGACTTCATGGTTTAAAGCTCACTTGCCGGCAGAGCTTTTATTTAAAATAATAGATACACGATAGGATCTGCTATTAGAGTGATTGTAAGAAATTTGCAGCAAAAGCTCAAAATCAAAAAAACTACGACTAACATCTCGTTGTACAGAAAACAGATCCACGTCAAAAAAAAAAATTAAGTCATAAAACCATTCGAATACTCGCCAAAATAAACCAGAATCCAATACTTACCAAACACAAACTCAAAAAAAAATTATGAAATAAAAGCTCGTAAGCATTATTGATTTACATCTCACTGCCAGCAGCTTCAAGCTCCTTTTTCCGGCAGTGCTTTCAATTAAATTTGTTCCCACAATTGGAAGAAATTTTCGACTAAAAAGTTTGTAGAGCTTTAAATTGAATAAATGCTCGCGATCAAGTCGCTCGCTATCACGAAAGACCACAAGCTTTAACGATGCAAATCATAGAGCTCTTTGATTTAGATATAATAACTCGTATTGACAAGGGCTTTTACGAAGCCCATCTTATAGCAAGAGTTTTAGAGCTTTGTGTAGTCGGCGTCAGTTACTAATATTTATTAACAAATTTCAGAAATCTTTTATCAAATATACTCTGTTTTACAAGCTTTACCCAAAAGCTTGCTTATATACAAACTAATTAGTTTATTCAAGACATAATAAAAGCTTTGGTGTCAAAAGCTCACGAACACTCGGACTCCACATACCTTTCGCAAAATACTTAGACGGGAGGAAATTTGGTTGAGTTAACCCAGCCTACTGTCTCAAAAAGCTTTTGAAAATGGTGATAAAGATTTTTAATAAAATATGGGTCAGTCCGGGTCAAATTTGATCGGATGATCAGTCTCCTGCGAACAAATTTTAAAATTTAAGCCAAAAGTTGTGCTCTGTATTGTATCTCAACACAAAAGCTATTAGCCAACTAATATATTGTGCAACGAAGTGAAGTATCTTACAGTCCAACTGTTTTATACCAACCAACCAGTTCTTCATATCAGTTCTATTTCCCAGAAAAGGCTAGCTTGCTGAGAACCTGGTGATTTTAGTTCTAATGACTCAATTAATTATGACAAGGATATAGCATTAGGGAACCTTTTTCTTTAATTAGGGAATACCTTCTGATCAAATTTGACACGGACCTGTTCATTAAAACTGCCGCGCAAACCGAATCAATCGATAAAAACTTTTTCGTAGATTGGTACAACCTTTGATATCTCGCGATTCTTGCCTTAGATAAAAAATTGAAAATTTTCTTGAAATGTTGTTTTTCCAATCGACTCACGATAACGGAATGGTTGAAAATGTTGCAGAGATTTTGTGAGTATACTTTATTACGAGTGGCATTCGAGAGATAGCAGAGGATCTCAACCTCTCTCATACATCGACTCAACACATTTTGGTTAATGTTTTGGGTATAAAGCGCGTGAATGCTAAACGCGTACCAAAATACCTGAATCTTTTAAGGAAAACCACGTCGAGTAGAGATCGCAAATGAGATGCTTGGCAACGTAGCTGAGGACACTACATTCATCGAAACGAGGGTTTATCCATATGACGTCGAAACTGTTCAAGAATCTGCGGCATGGCGCTCCAAAAATTAAAATTTATTTATTTTTAGTCCGGATCAAATTTGATCAAATGGTACTTCTACTGTAAAGGAGAAGCTTTGACTAGCATATGTGTGATGAAACCAACTTTTAATTATCCAACGATTCTTTAAGTTTTTAACGGATTGACCAAATAATCAAGTATTTACTGTATTACTATTACCAGCAAATTTCCATATCAGGAGGTAATCTAAAGATCTAACTCATATTTAGAAAAACCCAAAAGCCACTACTATTTTCCTAGTTATATTGTATATACATATACATATGTATATAAAACAAAAACAATAGCAACCAACACAAAGTTCATACATTTTGAGTGCTGATTTCTGTTCACAATTTTTATACCCTGCACAGGTTATATTAAGTTTGTCACGATGTTTGTAACACATTGTACGCACATTGTAACCATCTCTGTCTGTCTCTCCGTCTGTCTGTGTGTATATATGTGCACTTGTCCTTCAGTTTTTGAGATATCGATGTGAAATTTTGCACACGTACTTTTCTCCCCAAGAAGCTACTATAGCATGTAGCCGCCATACAAACTAAGCTCTGCTAATCAAGTGCTTGTATGGAAAACTTCTTCATTTGATGAGATATCTTAACGAAATTTAGCATGGATTATGGTTTAAAGTAACCATATAATCTCCGCAGAAATTGTTTAGATTTGTATTTGATTCTTTAGTGGTAGCATGCAGCTGCCATACAAACCGAACGATCAAACTCAAGTTCTTGTAGCGAAAACTTGCAACTGTAAAAGGTATTATAGCTTCGATGTAGCCACAGTTAATGCTTCATCTTGTTTTCGTATTTATTAAACTGCAATGACACTTAAATGTAAAATAGGCAATTATTTAAGTAGCCCTTACTGGACAGCCCTCATAACTGCCTGGAAGCCTAACGTTGAACTGCGGTTGCTGATTGATAGACCAACAAAAACCACAACTACATCATTCATTGATTCATTCATTGATAACTTGTTTTTATTGTGTTTATGCATTTTATAAGCGAAATTTTAATTTTAATGATTGGTTTTACACACCAAGGCGATAGTTGTAAACTTGTATGTACATTGCATTATCCCAAATGATGCAATAACAAGATAAATCGCTGTATATGTTTTTTATTCTCATATTCTTCTTTTTGATTGATCGCAATTGATTTTCGCCGCGCCCACTAAAATTATCAAGCTTTTTTTCACTTTTCGCAATTACCATATAAGTTATAAAGCACCATCTGCTTATTTTAGGGTTGGCCGGTCTCTTACATAACGGTAACTTTAAATATAACTATAATAAAGCAGACAAACAGATAAGTGAATGATACGCATGTTGTATGAGCCGAACTTAATACCAATAACTAACTGACTACCTGGCGATACAAATTGGTTTAAACGGTCGCCGAGAGAACAGCTCTAGATACGATAATAGACTGGACAATTTCAATAAAGTTGAATCGATTGTCGTGGGATTTGCGGCCAACCACTTCGGTGCTCTAACCTTGCACCCGAATCAGCGCTAATTGAAGCAAAAGAAGTTTCGTATAAAATATAATATGACTCATTATGGCAATCAGACACAAAATATAGAACAATGGCGGCATAAATTCGAAAATCGTTCAACTAGCCACCGGTTAAGCTCAGATTTTAATAATCCAAGAACAGCTGAGCAACTTTCGGGCTTTGTAGAACTCAGTCTGGAATTTTGGAAATACCACAAAATAAAGATGCTCGATTGGATTTTTGTTGCTGGCCATATATTTTTCACATGATTTTGGGCGATGCAGCCGAAATGACAGTGCTTGGCTAGGTGCATAGCGATGATCAAAACTAGACTGTTGATGTAATGTGGATCGTATTAAAAAAACAAGAAAAAACGTGCATTTATACCCTCCACAGCTGCCTTTGTTATTGCTTAAAATGGTATAAAAAGATCTTTATTCTGTTTTTGATAGTTTAGTTTGTATGGTACTTATACGCTTTAGTGATCCCATCTCAACAATATGTTCGAAGATTGTTGCATTGCCTTGAACAACAATCCATGCCAAATTTCTTGAAGATAACTTGTCAAATAAAAACGTTTTTCATATAAGCATTTGGTTTTGATCGTTCGGTTGGTAGCTATATGCTATAGTGTTCCGATATTAATTATTAATTTATCGATATCGGTGATTCCGACAAGTGAGCAGCTTTTTCGGGAGCAAAGCACGTGTACAAAATTTCAGAACAATATTTCAAAAACTGCGAGTATACATATGTATATACAGATAAACAGACGGACATGGAATCATCTAAATCCAATCAGCTCGTCACGCTAATCATTTATATATAGTATGTATGTTTATTAAAGGATCTCCTAAGTTTTCTTCTGGCTGTTACAAACTTCGTGTCAAACTTACTATACCCTGTTCTGTACATTGTTAACATTTCATATATTTCTTCCTTTCTGATGACTGCTGTACAATTGCGTAATAAAACAATTTTAGTAAATAAATTTAATTGCTGTGCATGCTGTACTATTAAACGATTATTTATATATTATTGCATAATCAAACATTTACTAACAAGCAAGCCCACCTGTATTTAGACGCCAGCCTTAATAAATGAAAATTTAGCACCCAATTAATAATAATATTTACATGCAAATGCAAAATAAATTATAAATAATTATTATACTGAGGAATTTAAATGTTATATTATTTGTTATTGCAATTTATTTTCAAAATTTCCCTAACAACTAAAAAATAATAGAATATAGGAAAACTATGAATACCGAACCTTACAGAAATCGCGTCAAAAGCTGCACATATTGATGCATAATACCATACCTGCACATATACACTTGCATTTATACATAGTATACATGCATATGTACATATGTATGCAAGTATTTTCGCGCATAAATAATTTGTTGTTGTATTTATAGTATAGTTAATTTTACTATAACACTAATTCATAACTAGTTCTAGTGTAATCGCTTGCCACTTGCCGCTGCACCTCAAGTATATAGTATTTACACTCAGGCACTTTAATTATATACATTTGGCTCGTAAAAATGACAATTTTACTGGAAAACAATAACAACAACCAAATCATTTTGCATAACGAAAAGACACAAATGCCAACACAATTGACAAATCCCATCACAGCGGTGCTTTGTTGAGTGCGTTTATCCTCAGCATATCAATCAAACGGTTATTGTTTATGTGTTTGCATGCGCATATTGAGCACGTGTAGCCAAACACACACCTAGTTGCATTAAAATTAAAAACAAGAAACCGCTAATAATAATAATTATATGTAGAACTAGAGTGTTGGAGTAGAAGTGTGCATATAAATCAAACGACGAACATTTTCATTACAAATATTAACAATTATATTGTATTAATCATATATTATATTTATATATGTATAAGTGATTTCGAGTTATTTTCATTTTTGTATGGTTTTTTTTTTCTTTTTCATTATTTTATACTAATATTTTATGTTAGTAAATAATATATGTACATATGTAGAAATTGTGTGCGTCACTAGCCGGCAGCAAGCGGGCGCGGCGCAGTTCATATTTCGTGCTGTGCAACCGCTATGGACGCCGGCGCGGCATGTACACGTCCTTCCCAAGCTGCTTCCCACAAACGGCTCAGCATTCACCCGACATTCTCATACGCCATGGCTGGCCGTTCACTGCTCATGGCGCTGGTGGTGGCCGTTGCGCCGAATATGGTGGGCGGATGATGTTGTTGCGTTTGCTGTTGATGTGGATTGTGTTGCGGCTGCTGCTGTTGCTGCTGCTGCTGGTGGGGATTATGTGCATGATGTTGCTGTGCCGTAGGTTGCTCGTTGCGTATTTGTGGCAATGGAAACATAATGCCATGCGCCATTTGTGGATGATGTAGATGTTGTTCACTGGTGGGTGGTGCTGGCGCCTGCTGATGGCTATTATGCTGTTGATGGCTACCCTCGACATGCTTGCGCTGCTCATTCTGTTGATGCACCTTTTCGGCGCCTTCATCGTATTTCTTTTGCAATTGGAATAGCGTGTGTGGCAATTGTTGTTGTGCGTGTAGCGCCACGGCCGAGGCCGATACACGTTCGACTTGTGATTGTGGCGATGGTTCTTTTTCATTTTTCTCGTATTTCTTTTGCAACTGATACATGCTGTGCGTTATTTGCGCGTGTTGCGACAATTGTATTTTATCATTTGTTGTGGTCGTACTTTGTTTGCTCGTTGACGACGCTGTGGATTGTGCGTGTGTTTGTGATTGGGATTTTTCCTGTTTCACCGGTGGTTTCTTTTGATATTTTTTTAGCACCTGTATAAGTTCGCCCTTAACATCAAGTCGTATCTCTTCCGGCACACGTTTGATCTCCTCATAAAGTGAGAGTAAGAAGAGCTTATCGGGATCACGATTCTTCCGTTTTTTGCTTTTCTTTGGAAAAGCATCTTGCATGAATTGCAGAAGTTTCTCTTCAAATGCGGATTCACGTTGCATTGCGGCTGCAGCATGCTGTTGGCGACGCAACAGATGTGAGTGCAGACCGCCGTGGAATGCCTGCAGGTGTGGCATCGAATTGTGTTGTTGCGACGAACTACTGCCCGATACGTGGTCACCATTGTGCGATTGCATGCCAACGCCGGGCGTCTGAAATGAGCCACCATGCGTGTCGGTATGATTCGATGAACCGGGCGCATCATTTGTTTCGCCATCATTGTTGGCATGATCTTGTTGCTGCTGCTGCTGTTGTTGTTGTTGCTGTTGTGCTGCATGCTGCTGATCCTTTTGATGTTGCATATGCTGTTGTTGCCCGTTGGATACCGCAGCAGCGCTTAAAATGGCATCACAAAAATGTTCCGGCACATAATCAAAGCCAGACATAAAGTTTTCCGGCTTTAATTCGCCGTTCATTTCCTCGTAAAAGTATTCAGTGCCAACAATGTCAATAATGTCGTTATCTTCTTGGTTGAGCTCGATTCCCGGAGGCGGTGACCCTCCTGCCAATTGGCAGCGTTTCAATTCGGCAAGTTTTTTACGCGTGGTCAAACGCATGTCACGCCAACACTGTAGATAGGTTAAAGAGATGCAGGAGTAACAAAGACAAACATTTAACATAAATTATGCATATAAAATGTATTGTCATTCCTAATGTAATCACAACTACTCACCTTCTTCCATTGTATAATAGTCTTTTTCGGTCCAATTGTGTTTAGCGCTGCCTGTATCTTTTCCCAATACCACTCCTTCTCCTTTTTCCCCTCCATGTACTTAGTTTCACGCAACAATGTGATAAGCATCTTTTTCTGCGGTTTCGTTACACGATCCTTGAATAAAATATTGAAAACCTTGAAATTAAGAAACGAAAAAAGGCGAGAACTGGATATTTCACACGAAAATACTTCTTTGATCAACAGTAAAAAGTAATTATCGTTTTGTTTACAATAAGTCTATGCATACATATGAACATAACATAACACTTCATAAAAATCTAGAGCTAAAGCGCTATTATTGGTACGTACAATAGTAGATAAGTACCCCAGCAGCCATTTAGTTAAATTGTCAGACGTCACCCGGCATACTTCTCACACTACGGTTTATTTACTGTGCCATACTACGTGAATGCATTTTGCATACTTGGAGCATTACGCGATATTGGTAGACTGCTTCAATTTGCAGAAACCTGGCGCTCCACTACTATACACATAATCCGTGCTGGTTATTCACATTTTAACTTTTGTGTTTTTTTTTTTGCCCAACACACATTCTGTGATTTTTTATGGGCTTTTCGCATAGACACCTAGTATTTGGCGACAGGTACCGACCGAACTATCATTTGCCTATTGTTACTTAGCTCACAGTAATAGAATTTCGTTACAATCTATATGCCACACACACTTACCATTTTTATTTATTGAAAATAATAATTAAATAAATTTTTCGCTAAATTTTATTTTCTGCTGCAGGTATTTAGCGATATATTTCACTTGATTCACCGTCGTGTTGACAATCGACAGTCAATCGTCGTTGCCGTCGACGTTCGTCGTTTTCATTTTCATGTATGTCTGTCCTGTGTGTCATACTGTATTTGTTGTTGGTTTGCCAGCGCTCTGCTCACGAACCGTCCGTCTTCCATGGTGGCTGACTGCGTTGTCGATATACACAATCAGCAATCGATAAGAATTTCGACATTATAATGTGACACAAGGAAGTGTTACCAGTACTACATGTTTACGTGAAACTTTTGATGTAGGATTAAAAGTGAAAGAAAGAAATTTCTACACATATATATGTTATTAACATGTCATTGCTTTACAGAAAACATAATTACACCTGCCTTTAAAATCATTGGTTGATGGTATTTCAACAACATGCTAAACAAATATTGTAATAATATTTCACCTAGTCATTCCATCACTCCAAACTAATTTGTATTGACCGATATTACCTTGCTGCTATCGATTTCGATAAATAGGAAACAAAATACATTATAAACTTCCGCTATTTGAATTTATTCGTTTTTTTGTCACTTTATTGTGTCGAAATTTCAGCTATCTTCAACTTTATCATTGATTATCCATGTAATCCACTCCAAATAAGGTACTATAGCTGTATAGATGCTAGGTACACCTGTTACACCACAAGTTAGTCCATGAGATACAATACCACATATGTAAGAAATATCATCCGCTTTACATACTAAAGGACCACCGCTGTCTCCCTATAATAAAGTGCATTAAATACATATCTACGCCTGTAAGTAAACTATTGTACCCAACAATAAATATTGCTTGCATACCTGACAAGTGTCTTGATTTTCACCCAAAGCACAAAGTGTAGTTTCTTCATATGGTGGTGCCAATATTCTGCCCAAAATTTCGGTACACTCTTGTTTTGTAATTATTTTAACCTCACCTTCAATGAGATTGTTTTGTAATTCCCCAGCATATTGTGTAGCACCATACCCTATAATCTGGCATGAAACTGCAACAAGAAGTGCGAGTTACAGAAATAATAAGTTAAATGCAGACATGCATAAATGTGAAGCAAAAACGTAGGACTCACCACCGCTTAGATTTTTCATATCAGGCAGCGGTAAGATGCCAAACGCATGGTTGATTAAGCTCAGCTCCGGATCATATGACTTCTTCAGGCGTGCCAATGCAATATCATTTTGAATATTTGTGCTGTCAAGTCCAATGTCAACAGAAGTACAAACAAAGTTTGCATATTCATAATTAACAAAACAATTTGAGTAAATATAAAAATTTAGCAAATGGAAATACCTACGGCTGATAGTAAATAAATTTAACACGTTCGATGGCGTAACGACTGTTATTCTGATTGGCTTTTGAGAGGTTTTCATGACCGATAACGGCTGATATGCGTGCCAGCTTTCTTTTATGGGAGGAAATTGTTTTAAAAGTGATTAAAAATAAAAATAAAAATATATATTTAGTTAATTACTTGCGCAAAAAGCAATGTGCTGCAGTCACGAACCACCAACGGTTCAACATAGCGCCACCACAGAAATGTCGAAACTCTTTAACGCCCCGTGAATCAATAGGTTTATGCAATTCTTGTATGGAAACCATATAGGGATATTTAGGCGCTGCTAAAAGTGTTTAATTATAACTTTAAAATATTATTCATGTGAAAAAATTACCTAACCTCAACTAAATTTAAAACTTACCATTTCCTGGATTATAAATTACTTGGCCACCAACAATGGGTGTTGCACAAATATATTCCACAAAACTTAGTAATAAAAACGCCACGCTATTAATATTAAACAACCGCATTTTAGCTGAGTGTATATAGAACTACTGAGACCCCATTGCAAGCTGACCAGGCCGTGTTGGCCGATGGATACAAAGAAAATTCTAAATATTAAGAAACTCCACGTCAAACTCACAAGCTGTGCAAATAAAAATTCTGTCAACATTTGAGTGTAATATAAGAAACAATACTTATTAGAATCGAAATTGTCGCAGTGCTCGCCCCTTTTGGTCTGAACAGAGTGTACAACGCAAAAACAAATAATATGTTTAATGGTTTCAACACAATTAAAATACATCAAAGTTGAGCGAAGCTATAAACTGTTAATGATAATTGGAAAATTTAAACTGTTGTTGTAAAACAAAGAGCCTTTTTTAAGTGTTACACTTAACTTAATATATAAATGAAACACCAGCCAGCATTTCCTCACATTTCACTTTCAGGCTAACAAACATAAATTATAGTAATACTAAAAGAGTTTATTTTTCATATTTTTAGCGTGTGTGATTTGTTACGAAAGTCTTAATACATTATATAACATAAACATGCAAAACGCTGCTGTAGTGGCACACGCATTTCACTTACGTCCGCGTTGCGTCAACTTAGTATTGACCGTGCGCGTAACGGCCGATACACCCTCTTCGAATTTGGTGCGGAACAGCACATTTGCATTGTTGAACATGCCATCCTTCAGCGAGACGATAATGAATTGTGAGCCGGTAAAATGCGCCTTCAACATGTTGCCGATATTTTGTGTATGCGACATATCCAGCGCTGCGTCCACCTCGTCGAGTATATATAACGGTGCGGGTGAAAATTTGAGCATAGCCAAGACCAGCGATAGTGCAACCAAAGAGCGTTGACCACCGGAGAGTTCGCTAAGCGACTCCTTCCATACGCCGTTGAAACCAACATTTATCTCCAAACCGAACAGTTGACCAGCCTGTTTAACAGGATTGAGACGTGCTTGCGCACCCTGTAACAAAGTGCTGAATATGCTGCTGAAATTCTCATCAACAACCTTCCAGGCTTTTTCAACTTTCTCACGTTTCTTTTCATCCATCTTGCAAATGATGTGTTTTATCTTTTCTTTGTCCTGCTCAACGATCTTTTTGCGACGCATTGTCTCCTGATACTGCTCCTCTTCGCGATCTAACAGTATCATGGCGCGCAGATTTATATGTCGCTCCATTTTATCCTTTTGTTCGCGCATAACGCTCAATTTTTGCCCCGCTTCGATCGGGTCTTCTTTGGAGTAGTCATATCTAGTGTTTTTCGTGCCGAAAAATTCGCGATCCTCCAAAATCCAAGGATACTTCTCCTCGAGCGTTGCAATTTTGCGAAATGAGTCCTTGCTATCGTTGCGCACCTTATTGACCTCATTCTCCTTTTTCTTAATTTCCAATGTCATATCTTGATTGCTTTTAGTCAACTTTTCTTTTTTTACCAACAAATGTTTTAACTCTCTATTCTGCGAGTTGATTTTCTCTTTGTGCTCTTTGATGCGTTGCTTCAATTCGGCCACAACCTTTGTGATGCTCGTACTGCCAACACGTAGTTCTTGAAGATTCGTTTTCATTTTCTCAATACTCTCCACCATAGCGTCACGCTGCTCGGTGGTCTTTTTAATACTTTTATGTAATTCCTCTATTTCCAATTGTAACGTCTCGAATTCTTGTTCGCGCTTTTTCCAATTGTTGCGCGACTCTTCGGATTTCTTCTTCGCCTCTTTCATGGCCTCTGCCGCCGATTTCAGTTCACGCTCGCGAAAACCTTTGGCATCGGCTAGCTTTGCCTCAATATCCTTGATTTTGTTGCGTGATGTCTTTTGCGTTTCCCGCGCCTTGACAAGATCGCCTTCGAGTGTTTCGATTTGCAGTTTCAACGCCTTCATTTCCTCTTGATGCTGCTGGAATGTGCTTTGCGCCAAACGCTGCTTGCAGGCGTTCAACTCATGCTGGCGCAGCTCTAGTTGCTCTTTAATGCGATTGTAATTGCGTGCTGCTTCTGTTGTGATGCTACATGATGAGAGAAAATAAATATTTTCTAATTGCTACAACAAAAAAAAAACAGTTACCGTAATTTTTGCTCAACATTATGCAACTCCTTTTTGCGCACGGCAATTTCTCTTTCCAATCTTTTGATTTCCGACAAATCAGCCAACACATTGCTGCCTTTCGGACGTGAGCCACCAGAAAGAGTACCTTGTGGATCAACTACATCGCCTTCCAAAGTCACCGAACGGGAGTGAATGTTGCGATGATAAGTGACCTTCAACAAACAAACAAATAATAATAGTTAACACAAAATTATAATAATAAACAAAAAATAATAATAATAATAAACAAAAAATAATAATAATAAACAAAAAAAAGAAAACAAACAAAAAAAAAACGAAAACAAACAAAAAAAAAACAAAAACAAAAAAAAAAAAAAGAAAAAGTAATTAAAAAACAAACACAAAAAAAAGTAAATAAAAAAAACACAAAAAAAAAGTAAATAAAAAAAAAACAAAAAAAAAAGTAAATAAAAACAATCAGAAAAAAAGAAAATCAAAACTAAATAACAGAAAAACAATAAAACAAAAACAAAAAAAATATATATTAAGTTTTCCACGAAGTTTGTTATACCTAGAAGGAAACCTTATATAGTATATACATATGTATGTATGTATAAATGATCAGCATGACAACAAAAACACAAAAAACAGAAAACAAACAAATAAACAAATAAACAAAAACACAAAAAAATAGAAAACAAACAAATAAACAAAAACACAAAAAAATAGAAAACAAAAACAAAAACAGAAAACAAAAACAAAAACAGAAAACAAAAACAAAAAAAAAAAAGGAAACAAAAAAAAAAGGAAACAAAAAAAAACGCATAATAAAACATTAATTAATTTACAAATAAACAAAACGTCTTACTCACCTGTTTCGCTATATTCAAATCGCGGCACACCAGGGTATGACCAAAAACAAATTTCATTACTGGTTCAAAGTAACGATCATATTCGATTAAAGACAAAGCAGACTGCACATTCTCCTTACCCACCTAAAAGCAACGTATGTATGTACACTTATAACAATTGTGCTTACAATAAAATTTTAATTTATTTTACTTACCAAGCTTTGTGCGAAATCAACTACGCTCTGATCAATCGGATGTGAAGTGATCTTGTTAAGTGGTATGATGGTGACACGATGTTGCAATTGTCCTTTTTGCAGTATTTTCTTGCTCGTTGTGTCATCATCCGCCACATAACTGTATAGCTATAAGTGAATGCTTATTAATAGAAATATATCACTAAATGGCACATTAACAGCACTTACGCTGCCACCAGCCGTCATCATTAAGGCGAGATTATTCTTTTCATCGCGTACATTAAATAGTTTGCCGACCATACCGCGCATTTTGGTGCGATCGAAATTTGGTTCAGGATCGCGATATTTCAATTCGTATCGATAAGCATTGCGTCGATCCAGTTGATGATTTAAATCTCGTATCTCCTGCTGTAGCAGATTTTTACGCTCCTGCAAAGCTTCGTAGCTGCCATCCTCATAATCAATGTCTTGCATTTTTGCACTGAGACCAGCTATTTCACTTTCGAGTTTATCGCATAGTTCTTGATCCTTGGCGTAGAGTGTATCCTTAGACTGTTTGTCGTTCTCACGTTGTTTGAGCACATTGCGGCAGTGAGTTAATTCCATGCTGGATGTTTTAAATGTTGTCTCTGCCTGACTTAGTTGTTGTTTCGCATCTGCACAAAAAATATTGCAGTGAAACAATATTATTATCATAGACCGATAATATATTATACAACTTATTAATTTATATACTCAACTTACTTATTAATTGATCCTGCAGTGAGCATTGCTGGCCGTCATCATCCACTGACAAACCTTGTGTCACAGCTTCGAACTTTTTCTGTGCCGCCTCGTAGGCTTGCGCATCGCGCATATCGGCTTCTTTGAGGCTTTGAAAGAGATCGTGTACCTTTGACATTTGTGTTTCCTTTTGTTTTAGCGCTCTCTCATCATCTGTAATATTTTTCTCTAAAGTGAGTAATTTCTTTTGCTCTTGATCGATGCTAGTTTGCGCCGACTTCAAACTGCCCGCCATTTTTCCTTCTTCTACGACCTGTTTCGTTAGTTGTTCTTCCACTTCCTTAAGCGCACCACCACTATCATTATCAATTTGTGATTGAACTTCTTTCGATTTTTCGTCGATCTGTTCTATTTCAGCGTTATTATCTTTGATAGTAGTTTTACATGTTTCAATGCGCTTGGTTATTTTTCCAACATTTTCTTCTATAGAACGTAATGCCTCTTTCTGTTTCAGATACCGATATGATATATGTATGCGTGTCAAATATTCAATATCCCGACAAATTTTTTGAAACTCCAAATATGCTGAACGTTCTTGCCGCAACTTTTCTAATTTCGGTTCGACCTCTTCTTGTAGTAGTGTATTTGTTTCACGTACTTTGGCATCCTTCTTCTCAATCAGCTTCGTAGTTGCCTCACGCTTTGTCTCATACATACTAGTACCTGCTGCCTCTTCAATCATTGACAATATTTCTTGGGGCTTCATATTCAAGACTTTGGTTATACGTCCTTGCATAATTAAAAAGTTGGGATTATTAACATTCAATTGTACGGAACAAAAGAAATCTGACACTTTTTTATTCTGCACGAGTTTTCCATTGATTAGATACTTATTTTTACCGCCCACAACAATTTGACGCGTAACTGAGATTTCACGACACTTTTCGTAGCCCAGTGGACATTGATTTGGATCAGTATTGTCGAAAATTAAAGTAACGGTAGCCTTTGTAACTCCCGCCTGACCGCTTTTATATACAAGATCTTGCAGCGATGCAGCACGCACCTATATTTGCAATTATTCATAGCATTAAAATAACACTTTTAATAACTAATAATAAGAACATATACCTGTCCCAAATTCATAATACCAAGCACAAAACATATTGAATCTAATATGTTTGACTTGCCCGTACCATTCAATCCGGTAATCGCTGTAAATTCGCTGTCAAAACCATGAATTTCCGTGCGTCGTCCATAGGACTTGAAACCATCTATAATAACAGATTTAATGTACATCCTTACACTTCTGTAATCCCAGTTGAATTAATATTGTAATCTGCGAAATAATAGAAAATAAATAATACCAACACTGATTTTCAACCAACCAATTAACGCGCGTCTTCGGCGCGATGTGCATAAACAATAACTTTACTCACTTTAATACCCAATTGTGTTGTAGGATAACCGTGTATAATTTTTAAACAATTTAACAACATAAATCTTTAGAGCTGAACATGCAATATTAAAATTATTATTAAATTGTTATATTCCAAATAATAAGACAGCAACACAAATGGAAGCCTTTTTCGTTTTTCTCTTCCTCTTCTTGCAAACAACCGTTGGCTGTGTTGCCACATTTATTGTATTTTGAAATTGAAATGAAAAAAAGTTGAATAAATTTATATTTTTACAAGCTTTCACATAACCGCCATTATTTTGAGAAATTTCGTTACTTTTTATCCAATTAATTAATATTATATTATATAAATATATATAAATATAATATAATATTGTCGATTAGGTGCAGTTAAAACCTTTATTGAATGCCGCTTTCGTAAACGGATGGCTTTACTAAATGTACGGAATCTATTACTATCACGAACAGGGTGATCAATTGTTTATAACTTAAAGATTTAAAACTTTCACAAAACAAATTTGTTTTCAAATTAATAAAATTTTTATTATTTATAGCAATTATTTGAATCATGGTAACGGTGTTTTGGCGGTTGTAAAACCTTACCTTACAATACTAAAATTGATATAAATTTTTAGAATTCCTTTCCAAAAAAATGTTTATATATGGTATATTTATACTGGTTATCAACATCACCCCATAATTAAAATACAATATATATATACAAAGTGTACTGACAAATTTGCAACGTCCAACTTGAATAAAAAAAACTCAATTTAATTATTATTACTTTTTTTTAAATAAAAAATGTATTTTCTCTTTTTATAAGTGTCCACCAATAACGCCTTAGAATATAACTAAATGCATATCGTAATAAATACTTAACGATATGATTTTTGGTAGCGAGCACGGGCACCAGGACCACCGAATTTCTTTGGCTCGCAACGACGTGGATCACCGACCAACAGAGTTCTGTCGTATTGGATGAGAATATCTTTGATTTCCTTCTTGGAGGCTTCATCAACATCTGAAAAACATAACAAACCACCAAAAATAAGTCCACGTACAATTTAATACAATTAAAACTAATTAATTCTAAAAATCTGTTAATCGAGCATCACTCACAATTGCTATAACAAACTGTGATTGGTATTTGCTTTATTATTTATTTTACCGTGTTTTCATCTTTCGAGAGGAATTTCGTGTTCCAACCGAAAATCTGGTATTAACCGGCAT